ATGTATTTGCTTCTCCACAAGTGGAATGTGAGTAGTGGATTCCTAGCTAATCAGCTGAGGGAAAGCTGAGAAAGGAATGTTCCCATGCCATATGCAATCCTCCACCACCCACAACTGTGGGTCCTGGCTGTGAGGTAGAGAAAAGGTCCAAATTATCTGAACTAGATATTCCCACCTACTCAGCGACATCTTCAAGGAAAGAGCAGAAATTATCACGGACAAGGTAGTCTTTAATTCTCCATCTCACTGAGCCAAAATTGCAAGATTAGGAGGGATTAATTTCATATGGAAATCCCAGCAAATAACCTCCTGGGACAACCATGCTAGCTGAAGGCAAAAGGGTTCAGCACGGAAAAGAGAGAGACTTTATATCCCCATCCCTGACTCTATGAACAAGCCCAGGGTCACAGATTTGCAGAAGTCATATGCTTTTCCTTTTCCAAGAATATATAACCACACACCTTGATGGAAAAAAAATAAAAAGTAGAAAAAAAGTCAGCAAGTTCAACCTTCCAAGTGCATATTGCTTAACACTCAGTATTGTGAATTAACCAATTTTCCCCATCCATTTTGAGCAAATGTAACATTTGTCTATGTTTTTATAAAGTGCTCTAAAATCTGGGTGTTTCAGTACAAAATAAAACCATTGCAGCTGAATGCCTTCAGTTGTACTGTCCTGTTTACTAAGTAAATCCAAATTTCTACGAAGGACTAATACATTAAAGATGAGTTAAACTATTAAAAGTACCACAAGTTCATGAATTGGGCTCGATATCTTACTCCACACCTATATTTACTTTAGATTTGGGCAGAGAAGTCCTTATTGCTGTCAAAGGTATTCATGAATATCCAGGGGGAACAGTGTCTTAGGCAATCACTTTTTTTTTTCCTGACTACCTGTTTGTTGTAATACTGAGCAAGGACTATAAATTTAGTTCTGTAGCAATTACATTAATTTTGGCTGCATTTTGTGTCCATCCTACACCCCAGTCCTGCAGGATCCTTGACTTTGTCCCAATGCCTCACAAACCAGTCTCACAGGTCACCCATGACTGGGCATTCAGTAGCCATAATGCAAGGAAGGAACAAGCCTGAATACATATTTCTTGGGCTTTATTAAATTATTATTATATTTAAGTCAGCTACTGAAGTAACTGGCAAATTTACAACACTTATGTAATAAAACATGTTGCTAATATTATATCATCATGATTTGACAGAAATCTTGACAACTAAGGGGAAAATACGGATAAACACACATATTAAGCAATTTCAAAAGATGTGACTGTTTCAACCCAGCATTGACTTCTGAGTGCATTTTATTACTCCTTTGCCAAAGCAGTAATCACTTATTGTCAGTGTTTTACATTGCTTTTCTTCATCCTACTTTATAAACCATGTTTCTTCCTTAAAACAAAAGAGCTTCGAAGTAATCCTAACATGAGAACTGTGACCAAAGTTAATCCTTGCTCCTTAAAAGGAATGTTTTACATTTATATTATGATAAGGCTAAAGTTTGTACTGTGATATTAACATGGAAATGATATTTCAGAATTAGTAATGCTTATACTCTTGTTAAAATAAGAAACACTACTTCTCTTTCTTTTACAGGATATTGAAATTCCACTCAAAAAACTGTGTGCAATGTAAACACAAAATTAAATATAAAAAGCATTCTTCCAAATCTTCTGTAAAAGAAAATAAAATATATGAAATTAAATTCTCATTTTTGCACCTTCCTAAATACACTTGACATATGTAAGCACAAACACGGAAGAATATATTTCCAAAGGGGAAGAAAGAACACATGCTCAGATATTATCTGGGAAAAAAATGCATTGAAATTCCTCTGTGATGAATAGACTTTTTTTTCCTCCTCAGGGTGACCTCTACCTTCAGAATATGATGGTTTTATTATGATTAATAAATTTCATTTCCACAGAGGAAAGGAACAGTGTCAGCTTAAACTTAAAGCAAGTGGGTTTCTTTTTAAATGCTAATTTTTAAACACGCCCTTGCATGACACCAAATTTAGAAGCTCAGAAGGTTAGCAGAATAGATTCTGATTTCCATGCTGAAAATAGTAAGAAGGATTTAAACTATACTGTCACACTGCAAATCAGTAAGCTGCTTCAGTCACACAGACACTGGTGCATTTATTCACTATTACTGCCAGCATGCTTACTACTCATTAAAATTAGTGGCATTTAAATGCTTTGTGATCATTTACACTGGAAATAATCATTCTAGGTAAACAATTTACTAAAATTTAGGACTAGTACTTTGAATAAATTAATAGCCAATGGGATTATCTGTGTATTCCACAGGATGTTAAATCAGTGTATCGAAACGAATTTGGGCACCCACAAATCTTTGTCTAAGAACACATCTGATGAATGATTTTGATGTATCACTAATTAGCACAAGGTATGTCCCATTAGTTTCCACTATCTGGGACAAGTATTCAGGACATAATGGGAAAAAAACCTGTTTGCTAGCATTTTGTTACCATACTGACAGTGGTTCTTAAATAGCTAGACTAACAACTGAATGGGAAGTAACTGAGAAAAAAAGTGTAGCCATGCTAACATCTGTAATTTAACTGTAAACTACTCAGCATCTTACTCAGCATCTATGTTCTTTAGTTATGCTGCTTCTCAGTCTTGTCAATCATCTTCAGCAGAGGTCTTAGAAATGTTAAAATACTACCTAAAGGACAATTTGTTGCCCATGGAACAAATGAAAAAAAAAATTAAAAATGGGAATTTGTGAGATTTATTTTAGTAGGGTTTTTTAAATGGAATATGTAAGTCTTCGGTGGTAGGTGTTGTTAAAGTGTCTCTGATTATAATTGCAATTTTAGGATTTTAAGTTCTTTAGTACTATGGCTGTATTTCTATACAGTTCTAGCATAGACAGTGGAGATCCAATACTGGACACATTTAGAATAACATACAAATTATAGGGTTTGAAAGCAGCATCAGTAAGGAAAATTTCACCCTACAAAATAAGAACCAAGTTAACACATTTTTTCACATCTACACGTCACTGGAGGAAATAAAGAAAATTATGAACCTGCTTAAGAATTATGAAGATAGAATCTAAAAATTGGTCACTAACTCAGCTAAATCTGAGCTCTCACACCCCATTACTTGCCATATCACAAGCAAAGTGTGTATACCACTGAAAAGCTCATATTTTTAAGTTTTCCAAAATATTATCCATTCATTACCAGCTTTGGTTATAACTGAACAATCAAGTGAAAAAAACAGTTTCTTCTTCAGACCTGTATCTATTGAATCTTTAACCAGAATAACCTTAAATTACCAAAATTTTTGTGCTGAGAATTACTACTGAATTTCACAAGGAACAACTGAAGGAGTGGGTTGTGGTGAAGTCGGAGTTGGTCCAGTGCAGGGCGCTTTGGTGCTCCTGCCTGCCTGGTCCCCCAGGGAATGGGCATCGCTGCAGGATGTGCCTCTTGCCATTGGCAAGGTGGCACAGGAAGGGCAATCCACAGCTCCCCTCTGGTAAAGGTAGAACTCAGGGAAATTTTAGACAAAGATGTGAAGATTTTAGTAAAGAATTGGAAGGAATATAAGGAAAGCAAGGGTAACCTGGCCTTGTCCAGATAAAAGATTCCAGTAACTATCACAGTGCTGTTTCTCTGGGTCACGTAACTGTGATGACATGAGCAGCAGAGCTCCTTATTGACCACACCAGTCACACACCACACTGCTGAGCAGTATTTCAGGCTTGGTGGGTCAAACCTGTGCAGCAGGGGTGGCCCCTTAACTTAAAATTCATCTCACTGCCGTAGGATGGCATCTGCTTCTGGTGTTCAAAGCACTTGCTCTCAACCAGTTACTTCATTTGAGGTATTAACACCGATCAACTTTAGGCATTTCAGTCATCTGAATGACCAATGAGTCTCTCTCCATATCTCAGAAGGAGAAAGAGGTCTCTGGAGTTTTAACTTAAGACCAAGAAAACTGAAATCTGCTGATAAAAACAGTTTCTGGTCATTTTGCTTGATTGGAAAGGTTTAGGATGCTAAAATTCTTTATGCAAAGTTTTAA